TCGTTCAAATTAATAGATTTTGATGGTTTATTATGAATGACGTAAAACATTTAAAATTTGTAATACTATACAACTTAAATGTTAGTTGGAAAATTATTTAGGTTGTCATATTAAAAATTTAAAAGTCTATTAGTATTCTCAGTATTTCCTGGGCTGCATAATATAGATGTATTATCTATTTATAGTCCATATGAATATATCGATAACAAAACATTTAAATCGTATGTTTTTATTGACCGAATAAAATTCTATAAATCATATTTTTAAGTTAATATGAACGAAATAATATACACAATACATTTTTACAACAATTTTTTTTGAAGCCAATTTGTAAATCTGGATTTTAGAACAATGTTGATTTTAAATCATTTATTGAAGTCATATAGATTATTTTTTACTATTTTAAAAATTCCATTATTTTTGTTAAATAAAGTTGATCAAGGCGTTATAAACATTTTAAATTCAAAAAGTATTAACTTTTTTAAATATTTTATGAGAATTTTTAAATAGGTAGGTACTTGTTAAAATCTAAATTATTTTTTAAAATTTACTTATTACTTTCTTAATTAATGACTATTATGGGTTACTTTAAAAAATGTTGACATAAAAAAAATCATGAGAAAAACAACTTGAGTTTAATAAATGTGTTACATTCAAAAGTTTTCTAAAAAACAATTTACAATTTGGCTATTCTAAATTTTAAAAAAAATAAAAAATATTGACTAGAACAGAACATATTTAATTTGTCATGTAGGTATTCCTATTACAATGATTAATATATTTTTGTTGTATAATATTACATAAGGTAATATATGTATTTTAACAGGTGGTGTGGGCGGCAGAGCCCCCCCCCCCGAGCCTTTTTAATTTAAATATGTAAAACACCCCCAAGTCAAAAACTGAAATTACGCCTTAGTATAATACCACTGACAGGTGACAGACCGTCTTCGCTCAGAATCCTTTATCGTATATACAATGAGTTTTGTTATTATTGAAATCAGATTTAATATAATTATAATTATTATACATTACAGTGCCGCAATAACGAGGGACACTCGACACTTACTGTACATCAGTATGTAATTTACTGTAGCATACTTACTTCCCCCATTTTTGTTTGTACTTGACAATAAAATAATGTCGAAACGTTTTCTAAACTTTAGGTACCTATTAATTTCTTACAATTTAAAGTTTACTGAAGAAATAAATAAAATTAATAATTTGAAAATCTAGGGGACAAGCGTCCTGTAAATTGTAATCAAAATAAGCCGGGGACGAAACGTCTTTAGTTTCAATTATAGATAATATTATACACATTAGCCCGTTGGTCATTGCAATATATTATCAATAGGGCAGCAGTCTCGCACGTCTAATTCGGGTTTTTCAACACCATAGATAGAGGTATTTAAATTATTATTTTTTGGTGTCAACCGGCATGTCGTTAGTTTTGTATATTTTATTATTCGTGCATAGTACAGGTATAATATATGATCACAGTGTACAATTCTCGTATAACCTGATACAGAACTCAATAATAATCCGGCAGCAGTTAAGCAGGCGACTGCCAAGTATTATCCATTTATCCAGCGTCATCGGCCGGGCTTGTTCTTTAACGGTTATTCTTCTCGCGGTGACCATTACATTAATATATTTATCTACTACACAGCCATATTAATAGCATATAAGCAGATAGGTACACAGAGATTACTGCGAGTCTCGTCGTAATATCGTCGAACGTCTTTATATTCAAATCGTATAATATAATAATAATAATCGTCGGCCGCGTTGCACTGATGTTTATTTTATTTAATATTATAGGCAAGTAGCCGAGGTTATTATGCTGTATCGACAATACTGTTTTTTTTTATGTCTCCATTACTTACGAGTTACGTTTCTTTATCGTCATATAGTCGCAGCACGTGATTTCGTTTCGATTTTTTTAAAAATGTTTTTCGTCCGACATTTCGCACATTCCTCGGCGATACTGATAGTTGTCTAACTATAATAGTAGATGCGCTATATTTATAAGACAATATAAGATAATATTATTATTGTATACACTACCAATGTCGAATCTTCCGTTCGCGTATCCGATACGGATGTCCGTTATTGTACGACGATATTATAGTCGGCTGTTTAACTGTTGTGTATACAAAATAGTGATTAGTTACGGGCAACTGATCGCATCTCAGCATTTTTGTTATTACTATTATTATATATTTTTTTAGGTACACGCCGAGTTCTTTACAATGTTATAATAATTATATAATATATTACATCATGTCGACACACAAAACTCAAAATCACTGTTTTTTTCCCCAGCACATATGTGTCAACTGTCAACCGAAGATACGCAACAGCAATATATAAAATTTATAATATGTAGGCACCTCCTATACGTACCACTACGCCTATTTCCTAAGCTAGAATTACGACCGTAGTTCAACCGATGTGTTCAATAGCCACGTCGGTATTAGTTTTAACAGCCACACGCAATTTTGAGGTCAAATTCGCAGCAGTTTATAGATTGTTTACGTTTTTAAATTACATTTTACAGATTCTTTACATATTGGTTTAACAGGTGCCTGAACTCTGAAGTTAGTAGCTGAAAAATTCGACATGAATTATTGATAATACAATACTATACCGAAGCTTTAATATTATATATTTACATCCAGATAATTATAAGCTTCATTTTATAATTTTACCTTACGTCTATAAGTCTATAAACGACGAAGCAATATATAATTTCTAGATAATAAGATCATAATTTGTAAAACTACAATTGATGAAAGGAGGAGGGGAAGTGGGTTGTCTATAGAGGATTCGCTGAAAAATTATTTATGATTTATTACCATTTTAACTTGCTTATAAAGCTATAACCAATATGAGTTTATTGCATATTATTTTGTGTAAGAAGGTTTATTATAGATACTACTTGAATAGTTAAAAATAATTTATAAAATTTTCTATTATAAACAAATACTTTTATATTATCTAGGTATGTATTATTAAAATGTAAACACTAGGTATAATATATTAATGGTTCACTTATTTTATTAAGTACATATTCTTTATTGTTTAGTATTGTTTCTCACGATTAATAGAACGGAAGTTCAAATAATCTAATTTATTCAATTATAATTATAATCTATTACGCGAACACGCTTAAAAATACTAGAGAAATACTTCAAGGTCGAAATTTTTGAATAAAGTTGTATAATAAATAGTAGAATTAAGAATGTTTAGAGAAAACACAGATCGCGGCATCGTGCCTAGGAAAAATATCAAGACCTCAAACCCTAAAAACATCTTTACTCTTTAATTACCTAACATTTTAGAGATACCCTTGCCCTAAATGATTTTATAAACGTCTTGGCCGTCTTGGGGCAACTTAAATCTTGTTGTCGCCAAGTACGTAATGCAGTCCGAGGCATACCTACGGGCTACGGTTCGACGATGACTGAGTCGTAATGATCTGATGAGTTACTTGAGTCCAACATTTTTCTCATTCGGTAGTTTGCGTAAATCTTGTCCCGCATATCCCTACTCTATATTAACATACCCATATTCCCCATCGGATTATTCAATCTTTTTATCTGTGTATTTATTTCAAAGTTTTTGATTTTCCACAACCCATCTGATATGTCCACTTCTATGTAGTTCCCTCGACGAATGAGGTGAAACTGTGACGTTATGTCCACCATCAACCAGCGCCCGTCATGAATTCCCTGTGGCCAATTATAGGTAGCTACTGCCGATCGGCTCCACTGCCAATATTCTCGCGCCATCGCCGGCGACCTCTGCTGCAGGATTAGTGAACGGACAAACACGAAAAATAGTACAGAAATTAAACGCACATACACGATACACAAACACAATACTATGCAATATAAACGCCATTATTGTTTTTTTTTTTTTTAATTGATACTTTGTGTCTTTGTGATCGACAAATAAGATCATCATGCGCTGAACTTTAAAAGAATAATTCTCGATTGAAATTCAGAATTTCGATTAATGTCATTGTTTCGGTATTATTGGTTTCGTAGCTTAGTTCAATACTTGGCATAACAGATAACACGTTATTTAAAAACTGGAGTAAGTTGTGGATTAAATGATGGACTGAATTATTAAAGTTAATTTTTTATTGGTGTTTACATAAATATATAGGTGTAATAAAAATTTAAAATAGAAATATATGTAATAATAAAATTTAAAAAATGTTATTGAAATAATCTATTAATGCCATATTATAAACTTGAAGTATCTAATACCATGGACTAGATTTAATCTATTCTATACCACGCCATTTTAAGTGTCAAAATGAGTGAACAAAATATGTTTATACGTAGTATTTAAGTACCTATTTTATTATACATCATATACATGCGGTCTATAAGTCTATTCATACCTATGATGAATTTATGACTTGTGCGTGTTCGTCGATTGAATAGGGATTAAGGTAACCACCCCTCCCCCCAACTGCATAGGCGTGCGCACGGGGGCAGCAGGGTGTGCTCTTGCTGCCCCTGACCGGCCCGGAAGGGCTGGTCTAGATAATATTGCTGGTCAATTTGAACCAGGGCCAGTCAAGGCAGGCTGTATAGTGTAGGTTGTATAAAGGTTGTATAATAAACGTCTTTACCTACTCTGATAATCGAGAGTAAAAGACCGGGAAAGACGCTCTAGCTGTTCAGTAAATAAAATAACAATAAGATCACTGAAAGACTCATTAAACTCATTAAGAAATTCTTCTCAAGATTATGAACATATCTTTGAAAACACAGTAAAAATGTGTAAAGAAATGAACATTGAAATTCCCATTGTAAAAAATAAAAGAATTTCAACAAAAATAGATTCATGTACTAATCAATATATTTTTTAAAACTAAAAGGGAAAAACTGAGGGTGTTGGTTTTTTATTCAACTTTGGACACACTATGTCAAGGCTTAAACTCAAGATTTCAACAAGACACATTAGACTTGATCAGTTCTGTTGGAATGTTGGTGAATTTATCTGATGAGATAGAAAAATCAAATTATGAATTATTATCTAAATATTTTAATGCGTCAACTGATGAATTAATTGCTGAAGTAAAAATTTTAAAGGCTCACAAAGATACACCCAGAGGAACAAATTCAGCTTCTGTGTATCATTGGCTTGATTGGTTATGTCAGTTTAGTAGATCAACTATATATAAACAATTCTATCATTGTCTCAAAATGTTTTCTATTATTCCAGTTACAAGCTGTACTTGTGAACGCACTTTTTCTAAATTAACCATCGTTAAAAACAAATTGAGGAACACAATTGGTCAAGAAAGATTGAATGCCTTACTTTTTTTATTTGTTGAGCAAGAACTTACAAATAATGTTGATATAAATGATGTTATTGATGAATTCAAACACCTTACTCAAAGTGACCGTCGGCTTGTATTATAAATTTCATTTTTACAATTTTAAAAGTTGTTAGTGCCTTTGTGGAAAAAGGAAGTATATTTATTTATTTTTATTGTTCATATTAATCTATATTGTATAAAATTATTAGTTAAAATTTTAATTAAATTAGAAACTGTCAATAAAAAAATAAATTATGTTCTACAATGTAGTAAACTTTATAACTTATAATTCTGTAGTTGTAGTAACTAGTAGGTATATCACTTATCTACATAACAAATTAAATATAGGATTAATTTAATAATATTTTTATCTTGTACTCATTGTATTTTTTATAAATAATGATATAATTTATTACATAGATTTTAATGGTTCTGTGGGCCGTATATATGATAAAATGGGCCGACTAAAATAATCGCTGCCTCTGACCTGAAACTCTGCGCACGCCTATGCCCAACTGTATACGGACCTGTTTTGTATAGGTACTCGGTTGTGGCAATTCTAAAGGGACACATACTAGTTGCGGACGAATTATTCAGGTCAGGAATTATAATATAACAATTGCGGACACGAGTTTCGTTGTCATAATACTAATAATTAGTGTACGCAATTATTGCGTACAGAGCTTTTTTTAATAAAAACTACGTTAGTTGTGGACACAAATATTTCCCTTCAGCACTTTTTCAGGACTTATGACAATAGCTAAAAAAAAAATTGGTAGGTGGGGTTAAAAATATTTGTGTCTTGCAAAAAAGCAATCGTTATTTTTAAAATGTTGTTGAATTATTGATTTTTTTAATTTTGTGGAAAAAATCGTTTATAGATTATCGTCGTTATTAATTATCGTCATAGTTTTTAAAACAGCCTGTATATATGATATTCTACTGATTTCACCACGTGAATATTGTAACATTACCCGCAATTAGTATCTTATATAGTTATATTTGTGTCCGCAATTCGTATGTTACCTTTTTAGATTTCGTCCGCAACTCACATGGTTTTTGTCACTTTGTCCGCAATTCGGAAACACAGTTCTAAAGAGGGACGCTATTTGAGGAGGGGAGGTGGCAGGGTGTAAATTGGAACTTGGATATCCTATTTTTCTGTGTTTTATTGCCCTGCCATACAATTTAGTATTTACATGTAAACGCACTGATGACATACCTATGCCTAAAATATTAAAAGTTATGTATTTCATATAGGTATGTAGGTATAATATATTATACTCATATTATAAGAGTAGGTATCGTAGGTTCCAATCTTCTGGATAATTTTTTTTTTTTAATAATACAATTATATATTTGCCTAGCTATAGATAGGTACCTATAATAATACGACAATATATGGTCGATATTAACAATAATTCTTCCAAAATCTTGATCCACATTATTATTCATTAGCCTTATAAGCAGTATTTCAAAATGCCAAAAGGTGAAAAATTTCAATAATAAATAAATTGAATTCATTAAAGTATTAAAATATACACAACAGCTATAATATATGATATCTATTTTGGCTATAGGCTATATCTCCAAACATGCACCGCTCAATAAAATACTGTTACTGTTACTATTCGATGATGAAAGTAGTAAAAAAAATAGGTCTGCTTAAATTTGGTTCCGCCATTAAAAACTCAAATGATGCTACTGTATTTAATATTTAGGCAATAGTATGTTGTCTTCAAAACTGATAAAATTAAGTTTATAACTACATATTCAAGATTTTCAAGGAAGAAATTTGAGTTCCAGAGCGTTCAAGAAGTCACATGTGCAATATACAAGCGATACGTATCGGACTCAGACTTCGATACGAGCCGGTACCTACGTAATTATTCCTGTCGGTACGTAATTATTCCATAGTATCGAATTTTCCTTCTAGAAAGTCTTCATTCTAAATACTGATATTATTATCCTTCGCATTCATATAATTGGTAACCAACAACGTGTTCATCAACATCGCGGTCATCGTTGAGTATCATACCTATACTATACTATTAACATGGTGCCTACTCCATGGCAGTCTATGCAGAACAGTGAATCGACTAATCCCGATGTAATATCCGTTAAATTTTGCATTTTATCCAACACTAGTACATTTATAATATTTGATTTTAGTATTTTACAACCCCGAATAACTCTGAATCATACATTGAATCTCATTGTGCAGCTGTGACCGCATTATTTCAGAGAGAATATTTATTCTATACATTACTAGTGTTTAATATTATAACTACTAACCACGAATCGAGATAAAATGACAACTACTCCCGAGCTGGAAGAAAAACCCCTAACAGGATTCTCAAAGTATTTCAACACAACTACTATAAACGGCCGGGTGAATGTGAGTAAACCTATAGAGTAATAATTAGTATGCAGTGCGCTTGCCGTCAAGAGCGTTTTTAAAGTATAGGAATTTAAGATTTTGTTTAGTTAAGATAACCTACACACAGATTTACATACCGATACCTATATAGATTTTTACAATTCAAAACATTTTTCTTTACAACCGTAGCCACTATAAATGTGTTAGGTTTAGGTACTTTAACTAACAAGGTTAAAATTACTTGTTAGGTCGTCCCCCCCGCGACCTCTAAGGGGTTGCCGCCCCTCATCATCCCCCGAGGTTTGCTATTTAAGTCCCGGGGGGTTCGGGAGCCGAGCCCCCATCCATCGAGAGGTCCGCAGGACCCTCAGCAGGACCTCGAGTTTGGCGACCGGAGCCGACGGTCGTAGGGAACTTCTAGAGCGTTGAGCGTATGCGTAAAAACTCAGAATTCGAAACAACCTTAGCATATAACTTCAAAACGAAGTCTGGCTATCTAATTTCGATTCCAACGTCGTTCTTAACTCGTTGAAGTACCTACATAGGTTTCAAAAAAAAAAATCAAACATTATAGGTGATTGGTAATTCGTAATAAGTGCAGTAAACTAGTGACGCGCGAATGCGCAAAAATCGTAAAATAGCGAACTTCATAAGTCATAACTTCGAAACTAAGTCCAACCGCCAAGTTCTGACTTCACCACCGTTCTTAATATAGTTAACTACATAAGTAAATATAAAAAAAATTGCAAAAAAAAGTGTGTCCGGTAAAGTAACAAAGTTCCTTGGGATATAACATAACCTATGCCGGATTTTGTTAGATATAGTTCTGTGATTAAAGTTGAATATAAAATATTATTAAACAATTAGTAATCAAAATTGATTTTGTCAGGAAATATAAAAATAGACTTATTTACATATTAAATCTTTTTTTTTTTTTTTACGACCTTTTAGACCACACATCCAAACATAACTGCCTCCATCCTTCACCGACTTTGCTCTAGCATTTGTCAATCTTCTTCTGGGTAGACAACTGTTACATCTTTTTTGACACAATCCTCCCATCACATTCAGGGTCTTCATATTACATCTAATAAAACTAACTAACTTACACAATTGGGGAAGTTACTCGACACTAGCCTACAAATCATAGGTCTCTAGTGTACAGTACTTGTCATTTAAATTGTCCCTGTAATGGATATATTCATTTTGAATTACAATTATGCATTAATCTAAGCGTAGAAAACGATTCTGAGCAGAAATAATGTGTCACCATTTAATACCTACCTGTCTACAAAATTTGAGATTTTGACAACTTTGTCAATATTTGAAATTCAGACCCAGATAAGAAGCAATGTAGGTACATCTCTGAATATCTTTTTTAATTATTGCAGGGAAATATAATGAGAAACTTTGTATTAAAACCTTATTTTCAAACCATTTTACATTTTTACCTTTGAAATTAAAATTAAAATCGAATCATTTTTAATTACAAAATAATTTCACAATTTGACAAATGACTTAAGATATGATATTAAACCTTAAAAATAGTTTTACATTTGAAAGAAAATAATAGTGTTATCAGGTTCTATTGTACTAACATACAAAGCCAAGCTATAAGGTTTAAAAAACGTACAGCCCTCAAGCCAAACAGTGCCAAATCACAAAATTTTTAATATCCAAATGTAAAAGTATAGGTACTTGTGAAGTTCAAATGACTTAACTTTTTTTTTGAGTATAATAAATTATAGCTGCTTAACTAGATCATGATCAAACTTTATACTTGAACTTCTGTTATTCTGTTATATATATAGATTTCCTGTGCTACATTTGCAACATTAGGAATGTTTTTGCTGTACATGAAGTTCAAACCAAAGACGGAAAAAATACCACATACGAGTAATGAAAAATAAATACACAAAAAGTTATTTATTTTTTTGTAAATTTTTTTCTTTTCAATATATATAGTGGTTTTCATTTTTCAAAATTCTATTTAGAAAACAAAAAAAATATATATGTAATAATGAAAATAAAATGATAATAATAACTGGTATTCTTTTATAATAAATATAATTATTTACTAAAATAATATGGTTTTCAAAATTATGATATTTTTATTTACAAAAGCAAATTGAAATGTATTAAAAGTATACGTTTAATATTAAAGTAAAACACGCAAGTTTGTAAAACCAGTTAAAACAAATGTAGTGTCTCCTATCAACTTAAATGCCCCTTAGATAAAAATATAAATCAAGAAGTTATCACAGCTTCTACATGTGTTTTAAGTGGCATTCTGGTGTGCCTACGCTCTTAAAAATAATCATAATTTGAATATATAACTCTACACATATTTTTTTCTTTGTAAAATTACTTTTTTAAAGTACATTAAGAGAAAATAAAAAAATACTTATATAATTCAATGTTTAAATTAGTCAAATGTTTCTTAATTATTATTATTTACACAATAATGTTCATCTACATTTGGGCATACTTATAGTTGATAACTAACATGGAAATATTTTTATTATTAAGAAATAAAACAATTATTTACATATTTAAAAATATTTCTCATAGTTTATTATTTGAGAATAGCTAAATATAGAAAAAAAAAATTGTGTAAATGTAAATGCTTATAAAATTAGATGACGTACATTTTTAAGTAAAAAAAAAATAAAATTAAGAGTTTTTATTAGAATTTAAACCACAGACTCTATCTGTTTTAATTCTTGCAATGGTGGTTTATTTGGCGTAGGAGCTGTTTCAATAATAGTTGGAACTTGGTGATGATGATGGTGCGTGTTGTCTTCCTCTTCATCGTCTTCTTCATCATCCTCATCAATTGGAGTCAACGCATCATCGTCGTCTTGGGGAAGGGCCATCTGTCTTTGGTCCAAATAACGTTTTAACGGAGCCGCCATAAAACTAGTTATAGCAGACAACAGGAAGAATACAGCAGCCATAAAGAACGGCCAGTCATATGATTTTGTGTAGTCATATACTGCGCCAGCTAATGGCGATCCAATAATTGCGGCCGCCCCACGGAATAATATTAAAAGACCAAAGGCATTTGTGAGCTTGTCCAGACCCAATAGATCCACAAGAATAATGGATGTTAATGATATGTAGCCAGCTAGAAAATAATAAATATTTGATTAAATTGAATAATTTGTGCTTACATGTTGGTCCATTAATACTCACAAACTGCAATTCCAAAGAAGACTGCCATTATAACGTAATGAGTGTAGGTGACACAGAAAGGGGTTGCAGCAACAGCAGCTGTACTGATTAATAAACATATATTATTGAGGAACAGCGAATCAACCCAAGGGAAATCGGCAACAAAACCACAGACTACACGTCCAATGGTATTGGTTATACCAATAATAGACAGCAGGAATGATGCTTGACTTGAATCAATATTGGAACTCTAAAGATTTATTATTATAAAGATAATTTAATTTGATAGAAGAAATATCTTGGCAATGCCAGTTATTATTTATTTTTTAATGAACTATCAAAACTCACAGATTCTTTGGCATAATCTACTAAATACACAAAAGGTACATAAAGTCCAGCCATGCCAAATACGTTGCTGATACCAATTATCATAAATACAGGATCCTTAAGTAAACTTGTGTCCATCATCGAAGACAATACAGAGTTAATAGATTCTGGTAAAAATGGACAACAACCTTCTGCAATATATAATCCACATTTTAGTCGTGTTCTTTCACCTTACAAATAGTTAATATCAAACAGACCATCTATTTCCTCATCATCATCTTTATCGTTATCTTTCATCATGGATTTGGGTAACGACAAAATACTTTGGCGATAGCTGGCAAGTGATTTTTGTGATCGGTATTCGGGCAAATTCAAAACACTACCCGAGTAAAAGATATCTTTTCTGGACATTGGACGCACAGTTTCTTTTCCTCTTATGCTTGTTTTAGATGAAGTGTATCCAATGCTGTCTGTATCCACCTATACATTTCAAAAGTAAAAACATTTTAGCTTAATTTTGTTCATGTGTTCAAAAACTAAAAGAAATAAATTTTATTTCTAAATATAGATACTTATATGCCATCCCCCGAGAGAATCAAGAGCACTGAAACTGAAACTGATAAATTCCTAACGCAAGATAACCATTCCAAGTAAACTGTGGACTTATATTCTCTCGGTTGACAGTGTATATTATATTATATATATTATTAATAGATAAGTAATTGAAACTAACATTTGACCACATATCTTCGGCGTTATTGTTTTTACTACCAAGTATTGATACATTTGATAATCTTAAATGTATAGATTTACGAATATCTCCATTTGAACTGAGATTAGGTCGAGATACTTTTATCGGCCCCAAAGTAGGTCGATAACGTTCGCTGGCACTTGTTTTTCGAATACGGTCAAAAAATGGCACTGAACCATTTTTTGGTAAACCTTGAACATGAGTTGTAAATGCAGGTTGAGAAGCATTTCTTGGAATGGCGGCTTTCACTTCAGTCAACTCTCCATTTCCATTTGTTTCACCATTTTGTTCAGGTACTTCTGGTTTTGAGTTTTCTATTTTATTGTCTTTTTTATCAGATTTGAATTCTCCACTTCCAGCATTGCTAGAACTATTGCTAGATCCACTTTGTTCTGGAGCTTTCACTTCTTTAATAGTAGGTAAAACGGCCATGGTTGGTATCGGTGTCATGGGAGATCCGGTGCCACCCACCAATTCATCTAAGTTAAAACTTGAATGAACACCAGGATCAATGTTTAGTGGTAACTTTTGTCTTTTTTCTAATGATCCATCTTTAAGTTGTACAATGAAATATGATCCACCTATCGATCCGCGTTCCATTTGCATGCGCTTTTCATCTGCCATTCTTTGGAGTAATGGTTTACAGCCTTCATTTGGATATTCTAGAGGCTTCATTAAAGCACCAAATAACTAAAATAAAAATAAAATATTTAAATGCACATATAATGGTATACAGTCAAATAAAAATAGCTCAACAGATGAATCAAGGAGAAACTTACGGCACATGACAGAATCATCCCAGCAAGTATCAAATTCGAGACTTTCCAATCAAAGTTTTTGAGAAGCATAGTGGCAAGAGGAGCAAAAGCAAAGGTACCGAAACCAGAACCACATACAGCAATACCGGTGGCCAATGATCGTTTTGTTTCAAAGTAGTATCCAACACATACTACAGCTGGTAAATAGATAAGTCCAAATCCAATACCTAAAAAAACAACATTATTTTTTAAATGTGGTATTTTTTTGAAAAGTTTATAGATCCCTGAAAGGTAATCTAAATTAATTTATATAATTTAAAGACATTTTAGAAAAACAGCTCGTTAAAACCGCATGCATCCTCGTTTTACCAGACTTAATCATACTAAACCTAAATATAATATATTATACAAACTATTAAAAAATTAAATAATATTAAATAAATATTACAACACGATATAAGTATTACTTATATTAAATATAAAAATGTAGGTATATTAATATCTTAATGTATATATGTATAATGTATATATTTATGTATGTGTGTGTCATGTGTTAATACATTATGTATAGATAAATAATAAAAGTAAAAGTTGTTTTTGACAATTATTATTATTACTTAATGCTTATTAAATACATAAAAAACGGCAAACTCGATGATACGGTACTTTAGTACTATATTTTTCAATCAGTGGTGATTCAAGGTTTTTATAATATAGTGTATTAATGTAATATAGCAATTTAATAATATATTAATTATAAACTATAATTTACTTTTATATCAGTGTTCGCTACACTGTGTCATATTTTAATAAATAAAGCAATTAAAATAATTTTTAATCCACTTCAACTTGGTTTTATACAATTTGTTAAGTAAAAAAAACAATAGAATAGAATATAAAATCTAAAACACTTATTGAATATTAAGTCAGTTGGCTAATTATTACATAATTTTTGAATAGAATGAATTTCCAAAATATTGTCGAAATTAGATTAGTTTGTCTTAATTTTTTTAATCAAATCGTCTTTGAGAAATATATAAAAATTAAATATTAGCAGTATATAAATTCTAATAATTAAATTCCTATAATTAAAACAAAAATTCATCCACACAAAGTGTGATATTCAACACATTTCAAATGAAAGAAATTAATGGTGGTACATAATTTATTCCACTAGGACTACAATTTGTATGTATTGCTGTTTTTTTTTTGTTGTGTCTTTTTTCTAATTTGATTAGTTAAGTCCACTAATTGTTTCATAGTGATACAAATCAGAGATTTTGTCTCTGACGAAATACATGAAAAATGTATTTAAAAATATTACGTAATTATTTAAAAGTAAGACTTATAATAACATTTTAGTTAAATAAGTGACATAATTAAATTTAAATTATAAGAAACTTCTCTTTCATTTAATGATAGTTTGGAAAATATTGGTAAATTCATTGCATATTTTACTATTTTATATTTTTATTGTACATAAATATTAAATCCTAAGCCTTGTTATCATACATCTGACCAACCATATTAAACAGTTATGCAAATCAAATAAAAATTCATTCTTTATAAAATATTTGTATGTAATCTATTTATAATTTTAACTTATAATTACCTACCAATAATTCTTATATTATTTACAGAATTATTTTATATTTAACACAAACAAACAATTTAAAAATATTAATTAATGGAAGGAAAAATTAATTATTTACAAAACTAGCAAAAAATATATTCTACTAACTGTTAAAGTTGGTCTATTATATACATCTTCTATAGACAATTTTTTTTTTTTTATAAACTAACAGTCTAAAAATATTATTATTTATTAGTAATTTATTGGCGTACACACTAATTTCTTTACTAATTAAGAAATAAGAAATAAATTACATTGTACATTTGAAACTGTTGAAAGAATTAAAAAAAATGGTTTAAATTTAATGAAAATTATAGAATTAATGTTTTACTTTAAGTAGGTATATTTTTGGTACTTGTAGTTTCATATCTAAAACATTAAGAAGATCCCAAACCCTCATTATCAGAAATAGCATTTAGTAGAACCATTTTTGTGTTGTAAGCTTTAGATTTGGATTGAATTGACCTTTAAAGGTAAGAATATTATCCAGGCCTATAGGGCAACTCTTCATCGCTGTTAATATTTATTCTTAGAAGTGAGTTAATAACATTTTAAATTATAGTATTTAATTTAGTTAAAACTCACTTTAAATTCCCGTATTTAAAATTAAAATATCAATAAAATCCTATGATGGTCCAATAAACCAAATTCTCACTTTTAAGTTAAATTAGTTTGTTAGACAATTCACTAAACAAAATATGACCGCAGACGATAAATTCTGGTTTAACGTCCACTTAATTTAGAAATTTTATAATTCAAAATCTTGTCTTTAAATATTTTTATACTAAAAGGTCCATGATAGTATTTCAATGTTAAATAGTTATATAATCTCAGTGCTAAATCCATATGCTTAATGTAATTTAAATTATTTAAATTATGGAAACTCCGAATTAAAGTACCCTCTTGTATACTTTTTAGTACCCACCCTATGTAAATTGACTCTTAAGTCACTGTAATGCATAACATAGGTAGAGAAACATCCTTTGTATTTAAATAATCTCACTTCTAATTATACGTATATTTTAATACACGATAAATAGCTTTTATGATTTATACAAATATGTATAGCTAGATAAGCTATCAAATGTGAATGGCTTAGAAATAATTTAGGTCTGATCAAACAATAACTTAATTTTTGTTATTTAGAATAAAAGTTCTAAAAATTAACAAAAATATACTTTTACTTTTTTTATCCAAAAACCGCTCAATTTTTTTTTTTTAAGAGGACGTTGCACCCGCCTATGTTGTCTCCGTCTTACATGTGTGCAATATAGTAAATTTTAGCAGATCACGTTTAGCCCCGTTAATTTTAAAATTAGAGTGATTGACCTCTTATAAAATTTAAAGGTAAGAATATTATAAAAGGCATCTCATCGGTTTTTTGTTATATTTTAATTTTAAATTGAGTTATGAGTATTAAAAACAATTTATAATTTTAAAATAATCATAATTCACTTTAAAAGTGAAATATAACAAAAAGACGATGAGATGCCCTAGATAATATTCTTACCTTTAAATGTTATAAGAGGTTAATTCATTCTAATTTTAAAATTAACGGGGTTATAAGTGGTCTGCTGAGCTTGAAATTTGCTATATGTAGTACACGTGTAGGACAGAGACAACATATGCGGGTGCGACGTCCTCTTAAGAATTTAGTAAATTAAATTCTAATTTTCGTGCAAAGAATGTTTAGTTTACAAATTGGGTTCGTAAATTATATTTTAATTAAACTATTAGGTATATTATATAAATATAGAATAAATTTTCTAATTTAAAAAGTAATTCCTTTTTAATGGTGATTAAAAATTAAATATTAAGTGTGTGCGCCAAAAATATACATGATTTCTCAAAAAAATAACTTTTTTTAATTTATAAATATGACAATCATACAAAATTATTTAAGATAACTTATTTTTTAATATTCAATTTTGTGTTTATAATTCTATGTTTTGATATTACCGACATTTTGTTAAATAAGGCATAAATAAAAGTAAAAAAAAAAAGTACACAATATGGAAACTCAATTACGAGAATTGGAAATTCGATGAATCAAAATAAATATAAAATAATTATTGTACGAATAAATACTTCCATAATAACATACGTTTTGCAATTATAAAAAAAACTTTCAAAAATTTAAGAAAGTGAAATGTATCAAACAAATCTAATTAAAAAGGGGATAAAAAAAACAAAAAAAACAATTAATTGATACTTAAAAATTGTCCTAACGTACCTTTTGTCCTAAACAATTATTTTAACCATGGGCTAATTTTTTTTTTTTAGAGTAATCATATATATTTTTTGATATGACGATAGCTGATGTCCGTTGAGGTGGGATGTCGTACCACCTATAAACAAGGCAATGTAACATTCTTTACTCAATTAGGTTAGGTTATCACAGGCCGACAGATTACATACACGGCTAGTACATTATTACCTGTCCGGCCACCTACATTTTAAGAGGTAGCCAGACAATATATTGTATAACTTACCACCCATAAAACCATAAGTGAGCATCAAGACATTGACGTTTGGTGATAGTGTGCTGAGCGCAAAGGCTATGGACGCGATGACACTGCCCGCCATGCACACCACACGACATCCGTATTTGTTGGTTAGAGCGCTGACTATAGGACCTAAGCAACAAAAAATTATGGTTAAAAATGAATGGCTTGTCAACAGATAAACATACAATCCAGTGTGATAATTTTCGTGAGAACCTAACCAAAATTTAAATTAAAAAATACATTTAAAATTAAAGTTTTGAACGTTAATCTAAAATACATTATATTATTTTACAAACAACAATATCATTACTTTTGTCACCGCAGTACTTTTAGGAGTATGAAATAAATGATACGTTGGTATAACTATTAACACAGCATTACCCATTTTTTTAGTATAATAAATTTTGTTAATGATTTTTTCCCTATATATTTTGTATTACATATTTCCAAAAAAAAAAATTGATTGATTACCTTAAATAGTTAAATGACAGATTGCTCAATAGTTAATATAATATTTAACTAATGTAAATATAAAATTTAGTCATCAAGAGGATATCATAATATATACACAGTCTACTAGTTTCTATTTTACTAATATAGAAAATAGAACATATTTTTACGTTCAGAAGAATCCATTTTACTCAATAATTTAAAATATTAGAGTGATAGTGTTGACAAGTGTTGTCACTATAATATATTTTTGACTTATCGTCAAATTTTAAGTTAAAAATATCCTTGGACACAGTATTTGTTTTTGATATTCCATTTTTTGAAACAAGTTATAGGTATTTTAAAATTTACTGAAATATATTTAAATTTTTAAAATGCTCATAACTTGCTTAAGAATTAAAATATCAAAAGAAAGCTTATCTAATATTCTTTATAAAAAAAGATATTAAAAAAAAGAATGTAAAATTAGATTATTTTTAATTAACTTGCAAAGTTAACTTAAGCTTGACAGTTCAAGTCCTAACTTTTATATTTATTATATAATTGTGCATTATCAAAATAATAAAACAACATTTTAATTAAAGATGACAACACAAAACATTAATAAATTAAAATATAATAACAAAACGTTCAATGTTTATAACTACTGCAGTTATATACGCATCAATTATGTCTTAAAACTTAAAAGTTAGAAGTGCCATCGCACCATAACGAGGTACATAGCAATATTGACATACTATTACATCAAAAAATGTTTTCATTATCTTGACTGTAAGACTTATTTTAGTCGTCCAATCGGGTTGTCATTGTTCTTTCCTACAACTTCTGTAATACTTTACGTTAATTATAAATGTATTTATTTTTAATATTAATTACATTAAATAAATAATAAAAATTATATAAAAATATCAACCGGGTCTTTTACATTAACCATGTCCCCAGCCACCCTCCCCACTCATGGTTGTATTGTCATTGTTATATAGTTTCGATTTTAGCCGGGTTTTCACGAAAACATCTAACAGAGTAACGACATACCTGCGCTGAGGTACATTCCGGAAAGGAGACTACCGACCCAAGCAGTCTTGCCCTTGCCTTCACCGAAATAGTTGACGAACTCGCCGAGGAACACGCCAAAGGTGTAAGCGATCCCGTCCACGACCATGTTGCACATGAAACTGGCGAACACGATGACCCAACCGTATCCTCCGTCCGGTGGTGGCGGCAGGTCGTGATATTCACAAAATGAAATGCCGTCATCGTCGGTGTTCTGCACAGGCCCATGGCCAAAGGCGGGGACTGGCATTTTTGACGGCCTGCTTCGTCGGCTCGGTCGGCGGCCGAACATTCGCTTTCGGTCTGAAACGATAGACATCATATTATTATAATAGAATTGATGAAATATTATATTATTTTAACGAACGACACACTGTACGAAACGAATTCGCTGCATCGACTACGTTTTTTTGAGTAAAGTTAAGAGGACGCCACATGGATATTTGTTGTCTCCGTCTTACAAGTCTAACCTGACAAATCACTAACCTGACGATCATCCGGTCGCGTTTAACTCCGTTTTTTTTAACTATGTTCATATGTTGGTTTTTTTTACAATAGTTAATTTGTTTAGCAAGTTACGAGTATATAATATAGCGTAAATTAAAAATGGACATAACTCACTTAAAAACTGAATTATCCGAAAAAACCAACATACGAACACAGACAATGTTCTTATCACCAAGTTTCATAATATTTCAATTCACTCTAATTTTTAAACGCGATATGCTAAGCGTAAATTTGTTATGCAACGCACTTGTAAGACGGAGACAACAAATATCCATGTGGTGTCCTTTTAAGTAAACTAACACAATAAGTATTTTATTATAAGCGCGGCAATTTAAAACATTTGAAGTAAAAACGTATGGCACAATATTATAAAGTCAAATAGTTCAATGTCATAGGTCAAATAACTGTATATACGTTAGTCCATTCATGTTTTCAATTTTATTATTTATATGTAGTATGTGTTAGTCGCCGCTTCGACAGTCGCGTACAATTAAAAAACATTCACTGCGAATGCGAGCATCGGCGAGCTGGCGCCAAATTATTTGTAAGCACAATTTAATAACTGTCTCTTATATAGTTCTTCAATTTAATATCGAACTAAAAAAAAAAATAAAATAAAAAAAAGACTAATACCACGATAATATAGCACCTAGCGAATATTCTCGTCTATGCGATGTGCATTAAATATTTTGAAGCATTTAGCTCGAGACATCTGTACACGATCACGAATACGGAATAAGCTCTCGAAGAAGATAAGATTAATAATATAATACTTATTCCTTATAGAATACAATTCATTGCAATATTAGTAAGTATAGACATCACACCCGATTAACAAGAGTCTTAGGACATTTATACCGGTGTATATTATTGTAAATGAGCCTGATAAAACGTTCAACGTGCTAAATACACGTGTATAGACAAACAATACAAGGTCGAAAAACCACAGGCATGGGAATTTAATACGTTGTTACTAATGATATCGAAAACTTTTTTTTAGGACGAACGATTCGATTTTTAGAGGATATATTATGAAACATAATTATTATAATAATGGTATATTATAGTGTAAAATACGACGGAGCTGCGGTTGAACGATAATCAAAACGCATTATATTATGTGTGTAGACTAAAATATATATTTAAAAAAAAAAAAAACAATAAGATTAGCATCACATAATATTATATACGATGGTAAATAATTTATAATATTAGATAATATTATAAACTATGCGATTTTCTTCCGATTCTGTTGTAAATATTAAATATATATAATATATTCCGATATTCGACACGTGTGGCAATTATATCATGGTATACTTGTTACCCACTAACTCGTCGCATTTAAAATATGTACCTATATTCAATATTGTATATGACATTACTAACTATGAACGTTTCGCTCTGTATAGTACCTACTACCTACATATTTTTATTTTTAATCGTTTTTATTATTTTACATATCGTAGTAATATATAATAAGTGAGGATTGAGTGATTACCTAATGATATATTGCTAAGTGCTAAGAACTATTAAGGTGGTTTGTGATGTTTAAGAAAAAATTAACCTTTTTTATTTATGTAATATTGTAATCCATACGTTCAAACCTCAAAGGCATCACAGTGCATTTTTTTTAGATACTTGCGTAAATGTTTCAATAGTTTTAGAGGAATTATTCAAAATATAGTACCAGTATTTCAAACGTAACCCGTATGGTATATTTATATCCATTTGCGTGACACAACATGTCTGAGGACTGACAAATCTACGAAGAATTTTAACATTAGCTGTAGGCAGAATTCATCTCATCGTCAGTGATGACTGATGAGCTTTTACTAAAATCATAATATTATTATGAAATTGGTTCAATGTGATACGCTGCACGAGCCATGACAAAAATTAAATATGACGACTGATGACGTTATGGAACCGACACCACTGTATATCGTGTAATTTACGACGATTTTTAAGAAATTTAATGAATAATGATTAAAACACATCTACATCAATTAAAATTTTATTAATATCATCTTCTGTATTAATCATACAAATCGAAAACAGAACAATAAATAATGTATATACTGAATGGTTTGATAAATGATAAAATATACACTGCAACGACTAAATCGAATAATATATTGTTTACCATATAACTATTACATATTTACATAATTCAAAACATTGTTTCATCACGTCGTCTGTTATTAAGTCGTAATAAAAATTAAATAGGTGGTGCATAATATTATTGCCATGAATCTAGGAAAAAAAATCCCCGGATAAAAAATCCACAGGAAAAAAAATCCACGGAAAAAAAATCCCCATATCTATAACTAATAGTTGGATACAGCTGTAAAAGTGTAAAAAATAATATTGAATACCTAGGTAATAAAAAAAATTAAAACAATATAAAATGTGAATGATAATCATTATAATAATATCTAGTTCTGTATAAAATAAAAATAATTATGATAGTAATAAAAATATATAAAATTTGAATGATAATCATTATAATAATATCTAGTTCTGTATAAAATAAAAATTAATTATGATAGTAATAAAAATATATAAAATTAGTTTAAAAAGTTGATCTCTTGCGTATATTATTACTCACAGCTGTCAAAAATTCTCCAATGGTTATGTTACCTTCATTTTGTCTTTTGACTAATTCTTTGAGACGGATGTTTATAGTTTTATAGTGGCCTCTTTTTGTACTACTCTCTTCGGGTTCACCTAAAGCATCTATTGCTAACTTTGCTCGATCGGCGTTAATTTCATTTTTAATTTTTCTTATCAGTTTCCATATTGTGGGATGTTTTTGACCAACTAGTTTTGAGAACCTATTGTTCCATCCTTCAACAATGTTGTTGGTTCTGTTGCAGTTATTGAGGGTACTTTCATTTACGTTCCATACAGCTGGTGGGTACATCGGTGGTAGTTTTCGAAACCTAATATTATTTTCATCACTTCCTATTCTTCGATATTTGCCATTAACGTAGTATGCATCAAAATAATCTAACAGATCTGTGAGGTTTTCAGGTAAATTGTCTTTTAAATACGTCATTCCTTCTTCTACAAGGTGCAAAGGAAGGAATGCAAGTGCGTCAACCATTCCACAATGTTTCCGAAATTCTTCATCTCTTTTGTACATTGTGGCTAGACCGAGTTCTTGCACTTTTCGGAACGTTGATTGGCACAAATGATAGAAGCAGTCTTTACAACACTATGTGGGAACTAGAGAAGTATACTGACCGTCTAAGGTGTATTGTACCGTAATAATATATCGTTAGCAATATTGGCGGCCCGCGAAGTGGTAATAAATAGACCACCAATAATATTTTTCTAGACTATAAGTTCAAGAAATGTCGTCAAATTATTTGTTAATCATACTATAATGATTTCAATACGTCGCGATAATGTTTTTATCTGTCTAAAATGCGATTACGTCTGTTATGCGTCCTGGACCGAAACTAATTTGTCAGTCGGTACCTATTATATCGTAATCGCAATCGCATTTATTAAGAGGACGTTACACCGACATATTTTGTTGTCTCCATTTAAGATGTACAGTTAAATATAAGTAAACTTAGCAAACACAACGAAGCAAACTTAGGGGATTTTTTTTTCCGAATACCTATTGCCATAATGGCGCACTGTTAAAATTACTACTTATATGTAGGTCAAGTATTTGTCATCTGCTAATGAATATAGTTAATTATTGTCATTTTGGAGAAAATACTGACTGTTATAGTATTACTGCCGTTAATCCAATAACAATATTATAAATATAATATAATTTAAAAAAAAGATTAACAACAAAATATTGAAATAAAAATCCTATACTCGAGAAGTCGAGAACAATAAATAAATAATTTTGTGCTATTATTGAGAGAAACAATAACATGATCTGTTAAACAATAACAATAGAGATGGACAAGTTGTTTATTCAACGGTTCAATAACTTATATTGAACACATTAACGTTCGTTAAATAGCAGATGATTGCATGTTTTGGATGATGTCACTCATCAAACATACTAAATTATTAACTAGTATGAAATAGTGTTTTATTTGACATTTTGCACAATTTAGTGAGAACTAAAATAATCGGTATCAAATTTACTCTACAGTATACAGTATACCTACTTTAAAACATCTTATTACCTATCTTAATTATAATTAAGTTTATGTTTAAAACGTATAAGTATTATATAGTTATATATGTATATATAGTAACGTGTTTTTATGTGAATTTTCAGTTATTTCATTAACATTTTTATTCAATGGGTTTCACGATTTATAACGAACAATTATTCTAAAATATATTCGTTTTACACAGTAAAGTTACAACTATAATGCATTAATGCGTAAATAATGATGTTTGGTTTTGTACGCACTTACCTAATGGCATGTGTAGCTAATTGTATTTTTATGATTGTCTGGGTTTATAATCTATCTACGTGAATATTTTCGTTGAAACTTGGTGACTATGAACATTTTTTACATTAAATGGATTTTTAAACATCAATTGTCAACAAATATTCTGAGTGTTAAAATATATATTAAATTAATATTATATATATTAAGTATAATGTACAAACATTATTAATTATTATGATATAATATGATGTTAAGATCTTATGAAAATAATTTGTCTATCGACTTGTGACAAATCTGTTAGAATTGTGTTCAAATAATATTCAGGACCTAAACAATATACAATAATATGACTGTTAGACGATCGAAT